GTTTTGAGAAACTTTGGCCCCCTGGCCACGATTGAACCTTCTGAGATGCTTTTCACAAAGAGTCCCACCGCCAGAGCGACCCAAAAGCATCTGTCCATCGTCATTTCGGGAGGAAAGGCAGAGAGAGAGAGAGAGAAAGGAAGGGAGAAAGAGAAAGAGGGAGGGAGGGAGAGAAAGGGAGGGAGGGAAACAGAGGGAGGGAGAGAGAGGGAGGGAAAGAAAGGAAGGGAAAGAGGAAGGAAAAAGAGAGAGGAAGAGAGAGAGACGGAGGGAGGGAGAGAGGGAGGGAAAGAGAGAGAGGGAGAGAAAGGGAGGGAGAAAGAGAGAGGGGGAGAGAGACAGAGGTAGGGAGTGAGAGAGAGAGGGAAAGAAAGAGAGGGAGGAAGAAAGAGAGAGGGGGAGGGAGAGAGAGAGACGGAGGTAGGGAGAGAGAGAGGGAGGGAGGGAAAGAAAGGAAGAGAGAGAGGGAGGGAGGGAAAGAGAGAGGGAGAGAAAGGGAGGGAGGGAGAAAGAGAGAGAGGGAGGAAGAGAGGGAGGGAGGGGGTGGGAGAGAGGGAGGGAAAGAGGAGGGAAAAAGAGAGATGGAGAGAGAGAGGGAGGGAAAAAAGGGAGGGAAGGAGAAAGGGAGGGAGAGAGAAAGGGAGGAAGGGAAAGAGAGAAAGGGAGGGAAAGAGAGGTAGAAAAAGGGAGGGAGGGAAAGAGAGGTAGAGAGACAGAGGAAAGGAGAGAGGGAGGGAGAAAGGGAGGGAGGGAAAGAGAGGGAGAGAGAGAGAGAGGGAGGGGGAGAGAAAAAGAGAGAGAGACAGAGAGACGTACTCAGCGGGAAGACGGTGGTGCCGCTGGTGAGGCTGTTGAGGGAGACGCCGTAGGGGGGCACGCTCTGGTTCAGGTAGAGCAAAGAGTTCACCGCAAAGATCACAACACCTCCTGGAGGGGGGGGAGAGAAGAGCGGGAGGAAACAACTCACTTCTTACACACCCCAGGCTTAATATTTGTGGTTCCCTTCAAAATTCCTCACCAAAAAAGCTGCTCCCATCGGCAACCTCCAGCCCTTGTCCAGCCCCCCACATCTGGAGTTTCCAGCCCGGAGGCTCTGCAGCCCCGGCACCTCTGGAGGGAGGGGGGTCTGTTCGAGATGCACGCAGATGCCAACCTCTGGCACCGGCCTTTCCGCCCCGCCACCCCCCCACCCCCAAGAAGCCGGGAAGGGCCGTCCCGCTCACCGATGGGCTTGGGCACGGCCAGGGCCTGGGTGCAGTCGAAGGGCAGGTTGCTGAGGGACCAGATGACCGGGTGGACCTTCTGCATGATGTTGAGGGAGATGGCCACGATGCTGCAGGTGTCCTGGCGCACGGCCACCCGCCTGCGGGGAGAGAGAGAGAGGGGCAATGGACCGCTTCCCAGGCGGAGGAGGAAGGCCGTCACGAGTCTTCCAGGGAAGCTAATGGCCAGCAAGTGACCCTTGAATCTATACTGAGGGATTTTTTTTAATATGAATTAGGATAAAGATTAATGAGTCAATAGAGGTGTAATAATAACAATAACAATAACAATAATAATAATAATAATAATAGAGTTGGAAGGGACCTTGGAGGTCTTCTAGTCCAACCCCCTGCTCAGGCAGGAACTGCTTCCATCCTGCGACGATATCTGTAATACCATCAGACATCCACATCTGCCTATCCCAGGTCCTGGGAAAGGACTCGATAGGTAGACAAAATGCCAAATCCAGTCTGAACATCTGGCTGACTGTGCGATGATCCATAATAGAGTTGGAAGGGACCTTGGAGGTCTTCTAGTCCAACCCCCTGCTCAGGCAGGAGACCCTACACCATTTCGGACAAATGGCTGTCCAGTCTCTTCTTAAAAACTTCCAGTGTTGAGGGAGGGAGGGAGGGAGGGAGGAAGGAAGGAAGAATAACAATAACAGATGGAAGGGACCCTGGAGGTCATGTAGTCCAACCCCCTGCTCAGGCAGGAAACCCTATACCATTTCGGACAAATGGCTGTCCGGTCTCTTCTTAAAAACTTCCAGTGTTGGAGCATTCACCACTTCTTTGTGTGTGTGTGTGTGTGTGTGTGTGTGTTCCCCACAGCAATGAGAAGCAGAGATGGTTAAACTGGCCCTTTTATCCAAAGATGACAATACATCTAAGCTAGCTTGTATTCTGAAATCGCTTCCAGATTTTGTGCTTCCAGATTTTGTGAAAAAGAAATTGAAAACTTGACTCTCTCTTTGTTAATCAGATAGGTGTATTGTTATAGAAATCGTTTGTATATATACTGTTGTGTAAAAGAAAAAGTTGTGTCTGCAACGTTATCTGCAATGTGCCTGCAGGGGGTTGGACTAGAAGACCTCCAAGGTCCCTTCCAACATTATTTATTATTATTATTATTATTATTATTATTATTATTATTATTATTATTATTATTATTATTATTATTATTATTATTATTATTATTTCTAAAGAAAGTCGGAAGTTGGTGCCTTTTTCTGTTCTTTTCTCACACAGTTTTCTTTTTTTTCCCCTTCCCATTTTTCTAATTCTCTCTTACTTTTTTAAAATTTCTTTCTGTGTTTT